AATTACCATCGGTCTTAAATAGCAGTTATATGATTTCATCAGATCTGATTTAGCTCTGTGATGGTCACATTTCAGTTAGATTTTTTCTCCACATGGCTCAGGTCCTCCCTACTTCCATAACTGTTGAGACCTAACCTGGAATTCAACAACAATTTTAAAAACATTTGTTCAACACCTACTGAGTTTCAAGCCTCTGTGCTAAGTACTAGGGGAAATGGCATATCTCTACCTTGAGGAATTTACATTTTCAAAATACTCTGCCCTCTCTATACTCACTTAGCTCTCCAAGCACTCCCAACTCACTTTTTCCTTATTAGTTAAAGAGGAAGAGATAGGGTGATTGTGGGAGTGTGAACTAGGAAACATTTCTTAGGACTAAAAAGACCTATACATGTTTGTAGGCAAAGGGGAAGAGCCAATAGAGAAAAACTGGAAATGAGAAAAAGTAAGGGAAGGAATAATGTTTTGAACACTAAAATAAGAATTATTCACTTTTACATAGTGCTTTAAAGTTTACAAAGCAATTCCCTCCCAAATAACTCTGTAAGGCTGGTTTTTCAAGTATTACTACACCTTTTCTTGTTAAAGGGGATTATAACTTTTATTTCCAGAACACATTTTAAAACAAATGTGAAGAGAATAACAGTGATCTTTAAATAAGATAGTCATTTCCTCACATGCTTGTGTTTCTTCCACCCAAAAAACCTTTCACTTGCTCATGCATTCCCTAAAGTGATCATCTTTTATTTCTCCTCCTTTTCACTGACAAAATCCTAGAATTAGATACACTCCTTTCTCACCATCCACTTAATTCTCATCCCCTTACAATTTGACATCTGTTAGTGACCAGATCTGGTGGCCTATTTTCAAATTTACTCAGCTTTACCTCTTTGCATCTTTTGACCACATTATCAACCACTTTCTACAAACCTTCTCCTTCCACTTCTACAATACCTTTATCTCCTGGTTCTCTTCTTACCTGTGTGACTGCATTATCATTCTTTACTTAATCATCATCTACCTTGCCCCACCTAGAGTGATCCCATCAATTCCTGTGTGTTTAATTATCTTTTTCAAGCTGACTTCCAAAAATATATATCCAGTACTAATCTTTTCACTAGAATTCAAGCTTCAGCTGCCTACTAAACTACTAGGATGCCACCTGGCCAAGTTTTAGTCTTTTTATAAGTTCAAGATTCAAGAGATGACTGCAGTGACACTATAATTAATAGAGTAGATTTTGCATGAAAAGTCCAATTTTTCCTGATCTATTCTTTGAACACTTCCAGCCTGTCTTCTTGTGCTTTGTTTCTTTTGCACTGCTGCTTTGCTGTTCCACAAACGATCATTTCCCAGAGATTACTACTTAATTTTGAAATTAATTTTCTGATCTGTATCTCATTACATGTATGGAGGAGGAGGAGAAATGAATGTGTTAGTGGTATTTAAAACACATAATTTGCCTGCCATCATATCTTCTGTAGTCAAAAACAATTCGAGAGAACTCTGCCTGTTTGGGTTATCATGTAACTGTTATCATCTTCAGAACAGAAGTTAAGACACACTAATCATTTAGTAAGTGTTTATTGAATTAAATTGAAAATTATCTGTGAAATAAGTCTTTCCACATGGGTTCTCTCTTGATTGTTTTAATAATTGTTTTCCATTGCCCTAGATAGATTGATAGGTTATCCCAAATTTGTGGCATTTGTTTATTTGTGGCCTGTAAATATAATAAGCCCACTTTTCTTGTGGTTATAACACAATGGGGATTATTATTCCCATGTTGGTTTGCTTTTGCCACCCCCACTATTGTTGAAGTTCTTCCTTTTTTTGTTGATTAGTTTGTGTTTAGAGAGTGGAAATTAATTTTGACAGTAGCCTAAGCAAAGCATAAAAAATAAAAAAATTAGATAAAAACTGGGGAGAAGGAAGAATAGCAGCACTGACTAGATTATGTGGCACAGAATATATGCTATCTTTTGCACATATACTCAGTCCTTGTCATAGATAACACCATAGCTCAAGTAAAGGAAAATCTTCTTAATTCAGGGAAATGTCTAGGCCATTAAACTTTTAATGGATGATGGTGCTTATGAGGCTAAAATTAAGAATTTGACATACAAACTATCTTCTACAGCTTCAGAAGCAACAATATGTAGATGACTAATGTGATCCTATCGTCATTCACTGTTGGACAAATAATTCAGGGTGCCCACTTTACCAAGACTAGATTAGAATCATTTTCATATACAACAACACCACATTTAGTTAGGGCATAATGTGGGTACTCATAGCTCTGTAGAGGGCTGTGAATGATTCCAAACCACAGCCATTTTTTTCCATATACACCCACGATGGAGAATATGAATTTTTGGGAAAGGGTAAGAAGCCAAAATTGTCATCATTTCATTTCAGAATGCCAGGGCTGAAAATCATTGCTTTCATAGCTGCTTCACAGTTCCCACAGGGAGATGTCCATCTCATCAAACCACAAACTCTTTTGGCATTTCCAGAAGTTTGAACCTTATGGGAGGATATTGATGGAGAGCCAGAGTGATCACGAATTGCAAATTTCATCCTTCACTAGAAATGGCCCAGAATCACTTCTGTATAAATCATCATTAGAGAAATTGAATTCTAGTGAATGGGTCAAATAACTCAAGGCTCGGACTGGCACATGGCCCATGTCTTCAGTGCTTTCCTTCCTGAAATTTGTTCTTAACTCTTCTGCAAAATAGCCAAGGTAACATTAAGACCATGCTAAGTATCAGATAAAATGTAAAATCATACTTTTCATAAAAATCATTTTAGGAAAAAGAAAACAGAAACCAAAGTTAAAGGCAGTTTTCAGATGGGAGATAAAGCAACCATATTGGGTTCTCTTCTTGATTCTGTAAGTAACAGAATTTTTGAGTCTGTTTTCTCATTTGTAAGTTTGTCATCTATAAATGGTTTTAAGACTTCAGCTGCTATTTCCCTTCTAGGTGATTTTAATTTTTTATATATGTGGATAAAATATTTAAGTAAAAGAGATTCCATAAATGCATATATTTTTTTTCCCCTCCTTTTCTTCCTGTTGATTTTCAGGGCAGTGTGTCAAATGAGTCAAAATTTTTGAAAAACATTATATAATTGCTTGAGATTAATGTTTATGCAAACTGGAGTGCCATCTTCTGGAATTATTTGAAACAGTTTTCTCCAAAGTTGGATTCAAAATGACTTGAAACCAAATCTTTGGGGTAAGGGTGGGGGTGGTGCTTTAGAGCACAGACATCATTATGCCATTTCAGCCTAAGGTATCATACAGTTGATGTACAAATTGGCAAAAGTACTCAATCTTCCATAAGACTGGAAGATTTAAATCTATAGCAAATGCCATATTCATTTTGTAGAATAGATGCAATATCAATACTTAGGAGCCATGCTTAAACATCAGATGGCAAGATAAGATTGCTAAAAATGAGTTCCTGGAAAGATATGATCTCTCCCTTCTCTGAATTTTCATAATACTTGTTTGTTTGTTTGTTTTTTATTACCCCCCATCCGCCATTATGAAAGCTATATAATGGCATTTTTTTAATGAATAACATGCCTTTACATTTATTATTGTTTATTTTTTCCCCCCACATTTTGTATCAGAATAATTTTTGTCACTAAGCAGTCATGGTACATTACTTGGGAAAATGGAGGGGAAAACTTGAGTGACAATTATAATACTTTAAAAGTCAAGCATAGATTTCCCCTCCAAACATTAAAATAATGCTTCAAATTGAATTCTGGAGTGGCAAAGCCAACAAAAGATCAAAGTGAGAGATTTTTCCAGCCCAATACAACTTAAGTCAGAAAGAGAGGTCTGTGGCACTGGGGTGGGGACTGGCCTGGATGGGAGCAATACCAGCTGTGAGCCTTGGAGACAGCAGCAGCTTCAGAGGTGGTAAGGGAATCTGGCAACTGATCGGAAAGAGATTACCCAGCGGACCCCTGTAATCTGAACTGACACTGAACACAGGATTGGGTACTGTTTGGTAACTCCGTTGCCTCTGCTGGATCAGAGTTCCCAGGTAGAGAGGAACGCTTGCAGTCAAAAGGGACCAGGGTCCCTGAGGAACAGTATTACTTTCAGTCCCAAAGGATCAAGGAACCCTGAGGAGCAGTATCATTTTGGTCCCAAGGAAGCAGGGGTCCTACGGAGCAGTAGTGCTTGTGGCTGCCAGGTATCAGGGGCCCTTCCAGGGTAAGGACAAGAGCTCAGACCAGAACAGTGACCTCTTCTGTCCCCCGATCTTGGAAGTACTTCCAAAATTTCAAACTCCAAGAACTAGCTCTGAAAACAGCAGTGGGAAAAATGAACTGAAGTAAAGTGAAATGAGTAGAACTAGGAGAACCATTGTACATAATAGCAGCAGTGTTATAGTGATGGTTAACCATGAAAGACTTAGCTACTCTGATCAAGACAGTGATCCAGGATAATTCCAAAGGACTCAAGATGAAAAATGTCCACATCCAGAGAGAACTGATGAACTGAATGCAGATTAAAGCATACTTTTTTTTTCTACTTTCTTTATGTTTCTTGCTTTTTGTTTTATGCTTTGTTTTGCAACATAGCTAATATGAAAATGGTTTGCATGATTTCACATGAGTAATTGATATCATATTGCTTGCCTTTTCCATAGGGAGGGAGAGAATTTGGAATTCAACTTTTTTAAAAAATGAATGTTAGGACAGCTAGGTGTCGTGGTGGATAGAGTACCAGCCCTGGAGTCAGGAGGACTTGATTTCGAATCTGGCCTCAGACACTAGCTGTACGACCCTGGGCAAGTTACATAACGCCAATTGACTCAAAAAAAAAAGCTAAAAATTACAAATTATAAAGGAGTAGTGAAGAAAAAGAAGTCTAATGTAAGCCTTGGTTATGAATTGTGTAGATTAGAATAACGTTACTTTAGTTTGTCCCCATTTTAGAAGATTAATCATTTATTTTCATTTGTTTTATTTAGGGACGTGCTTCTTTAACGCATGAAAAAAAGAAATTTGTCCATGAACATTATGAAATGAATAACCTTGAAGAGATTGTCCGAGAAATAAAGCCAACTGTCCTCATAGGTAACACCCCTTTTTTTTGCACATTTTTTTATTTCAAATTACACTGTCTACTGTTCCTAGAGTTTATTAGAGAAACATATTATTCATGTTTAACCCCAGTGCAACAGTAATTCACTAAACACAATTCTGAACTTATAAAACTAAAAAATTAAATTAAAAATTCACTCAAAGAAACGGTATCTTAAGAAATTACCAGATTTGGTACTTAGATACTACCATCTTATTCCTGCAAACACCAGGTATTTCAGATAATTTTAGCAGCCTATTGGTGTGATAATCCACATAGAATGTAAGCTCTTTGACACAAGGAATTGTCACTTTTACTTATAGTTACTTAGTGTTAGAACCTGTACTGAAACCTAGGTCTTACTATTTCTTTATTCTCTTTAAACTAAACTGCATTTTATCTCAGTATCTTCCCTAATACAACCACAAGCAAGAAGGAGGCATGTTGTTATCCCAGTCCTACTAGGACAATTAGCATAAAACTTTAAAATGTCCATTGTTAGAACAACACTACAACAGGCATGGGATTGCTTTCTAATAGTATATGGTGTTTCCTTTGTTCAAAACCATGAATATGTAAAGAGCCAAAAATAGGATAATGGACTTCAGTTACTTGGCCTTAAAGGGTAGAGAGAAATACAAGAGAAAAAAATGAAAGCTTTAAGTATTTTAGTTAATGTTCACTTTGAGGAAGAACAATTCATAAATTTTCCTTCTGTTTAGATGGCCCCAAGAGATAACTATTAATTTGTTAGTCTTTATGCCCTGATCCCACATATTTGATTTTCAATGGTACTGATGAAGATTACCTGAGACACAATAGAATATATGTGAAATGCATTTTATTAATGGTGACTAATAGCTTTTAATCAAGACAAATTATGTGCTTGTTTCTTTCAAATGGAAATTAAGAGTGTCATGAATTTGCTTAGAAGTATGGTGGTCTTTATAGATAACAATGCATTTGATTAACTAATTTTACATATAATTGGTTAACTTGCCTGTAATCATCTTATCTCAGTAAGACTGATTATGTATCTTAAAAGGGTCAGTATCATCTTTTTTTTCTACAGCCCCGCACCTTCTCATTTTAAGAACTCTTAACTGCTCACTATTAGTGTCATCAGTAAAAATAATTCATAGAAAAATATTTTATGTATTGTTTATGATGAACGGCTGAAACAATAGATGTTTTAATATTTTCATTTTATAGCTCTCTTGGTTCTTTTGAATTGTTCTAAGGAGCAATATTACTTTTTCGTGTTAACAGGCTTCTCATAGTAACATTATAGTGAAGTCCTAATTGAACATCATAATTCTTGTGTCTGTTAACTGCCGTTTTTGAAAACTTATGTTTAGATGACCCCAAGAGATAACTATTAATTTGTTAGTCTTTATGTCCTGATCCCACATATCTGATTTTCAATGGTACTGATGAAGATTACCTGAGACACAGTAGAATATATGTGAAATGCAGTTTTTATTAATGGTGACTAATAGCTTTTAATCAAGACAAATTATGTGCTTGTTTCTTTCAAATGGAAATTAAGAATGTCATGAATTTGCTTAGAAGTATGGTAGTCTTTATAGATAACAATGCATTTGATTAACTAATTTTACATATAATTGGTTAACTTGCCTGTAATCATCTTATCTCAGTAAGACTGATTATGTATCTTAAAAGGGTCAGTATCATCTCTTCTTTTTTTTCTATAGCCCCGCACCTTTTCATTTTAAGAACGCTTTACTGCTAACTATTAGTGTCATCAGTAAAAATAATTCATAGAAAAATATTTTATGTATTGTTTATGATGAACGGCTGAAACAATAGATGTTTTAATATTTTCATTTTATAGCTCTCTTGGTTCTTTTGAATTGTTCTAAGGAGCAATATTACTTTTTCATGTTAACAGGCTTCTCATAGTAACATTATAGTGAAGTCCTAATTGAACATCATAATTCTTGTGTCTGTTAACTGCCGTTTTTGAAAACTTATGTTTAGATGACCCCAAGAGATAACTATTAATTTGTTAGTCTTTATGTCCTGATCCCACATATCTGATTTTCAATGGTACTGATGAAGATTACCTGAGACACAATAGAATATATGTGAAATGCAGTTTTTATTAATGGTGACTAATAGCTTTTAATCAAGACAAATTATGTGCTTGTTTCTTTCAAATGGAAATTAAGAATGTCATGAATTTGCTTAGAAGCATGGTAGTCTTTATAGATAACAATGCATTTGATTAACTAATTTTACGTATAATTGGTTAACTTGCCTGTAATCATCTTATCTCAGTAAGACTGATTATGTATCTTAAAAGGGTCAGTATCATCTCTTCTTTTTTTTCTATAGCCCCGCACCTTTTCATTTTAAGAACGCTTTACTGCTCACTATTAGTGTCATCAGTAAAAATAATTCATAGAAAAATATTTTATGTATTGTTTATGATGAACGGCTGAAACAATAGATGTTTTAATATTTTCATTTTATAGCTCTCTTGGTTCTTTTGAATTGTTCTAAGGAGCAATATTACTTTTCATGTTAACAGGCTTCTCATAGTAACATTATAGTGAAGTCCTAATTGAACATCATAATTCTTGTGTCTGTTAACTGCCGTTTTTGAAAACTTATGTTTAGATGACCCCAAGAGATAACTATTAATTTGTTAGTCTTTATGTCCTGATCCCACATATCTGATTTTCAATGGTACTGATGAAGATTACCTGAGACACAATAGAATATATGTGAAATGCAGATTTTATTAATGGTGACTAATAGCTTTTAATCAAGACAAATTATGTGCTTGTTTCTTTCAAATGGAAATTAAGAGTGTCATGAATTTGCTTAGAAGTATGGTGGTCTTTATAGATAACAATGTGTTTGATTAACTAATTTTTTTTCATTGGAGGGGTAAGTAGTGAGAAGAGACAAGAAAGCTAAGGATAGGAGTGTACCCTATATACCCTGCCCCCCCAAAAAAAGGAAAGAATAGAGTCATTGAAATATGTTTCTGAAATATTCAGATAAAAACAGATGGCCAGAAGTAAAGATAAGCAAGATAACCTTTTAAGTTACATGTTAAATTATATACTTGTTACATGTCAAACTATATACTTGAAAAGCAAGCAGTTCTCAGTAAATTTTTGTAGTTTAATATACAAGCCACTCTTTCTTTTCTAATATGTACGTAGAAGTGTTCATTTTGTTAAACTCAGAATTTTTTAGAAAAGGGGAAAGAAGGAAAAGTGAGATGAGAACCAGGATAATAAAACATCATGAAAGTCAAGGGAAGAAATTACTTTTAAGGAGGGATCAATAGTATCAGATGTGAAAGAGAAATCAAGAAAATGACAATAGATTTGCTATAATCCATTTGGTTATTTTCTAGGGTACAGTTTGAGTATAATAGAGTGATTAAGGAGAAAACAGGTAGTCACATCAACCATGATTCCAGAGGACTAATGATGAAGCAAGCTACCTCCCTTTGACAGAGAGGTGATGGACTAGAGATACAGAATAAGACATAGATTTTTTGATACGGCCAGTATGGGAATTTGTTTTGCTTAACTTCACTTTGTATAAGATGTCATCATTGCTTTTTAAAAATTATTATTTGTACTTAGTGTTGCAAAATATTTTTTCAAGATGATCAGATTTTAAAGCTCATTCTTCCTCCCTCTTTTTTCTTCCTGTTTAGGTTTCCTCCAAGTGAGGGATACTTTAGAGTTGAAATGGGCTACGTGATAATTTTTAATAATCAGAATTTTATTTTTTAAAACATTTTTACTTTTTATCGGGATTCCCACCCTACTAAATTGCATCCATAGAATTGTTTTCAGGCAGAAAATCTGTATCGCTTATATTCTTGTGTGTGTGTGTGTATACGTATATACAGATTTAGGTTCCCTTTACATCCAATATTAATGTGTTATCAGTTATGTATTAACTCCGTGCTTTTTAGTAACACTTTAGAACTATTTATACTTACAAACTTATCTTCCTTTTTATCTCTGTAATTTAAAATAAAAGACTCATATTTTAGCTAAGCCAGTTCTAGAAAATTACAGTGAAGCACCTCATTGCTTTTCTGGATATTCTGATGGGTTCTTTGATGGGTAAAATAATAATGTTCCTTATCACTGTGTCTTGATCAGGAGTTGCTGCAGTTGGTGGTGCTTTCACAGAACAGATTCTCAAGGACATGGCTTCTTTCAACGAGCGACCCATCATTTTTGCTCTAAGTAACCCAACAAGCAAAGCGGAGTGTTCTGCAGAGCAGTGCTACCGAGCAACAGAGGTAAAGAAGGAGGGAAATTGGCATTTTGAAAAGTAAATTTGGTCTGTCCCAGGACTGTTAGGATAATAAATAAATCCTAGGGAAAAGATAACAAGAGAAGAGCAAAAGATAGTTTTCTGAGTGAAGAAAAATTGGCAAGCTGAGATGGCATTAGAAATGCTTGCTTTTCTAATTTATTGCTTGGAGCAATAAGATATTTACTCTGACATATTGAAGACTTGTTTAAAAATTCAATGGTAATTGATTTTTTAAGTTTCATTTCACAGACTTTAATGTGATAAACTCATAAATCTGGAATTTCAAGTTAGGGAGAAAAAATAGAGCCTATTCCCAGTTGCTTACTGAAGTATTTTGATGCCTTTTACCAGCTGTTCCCAAACACTGAAATATACACTACAAAGCCATAATTTTATTTTTGCTCTGCTAAAAGATCTCCTCCTAGGTTCAGGTTTTGATGCCAAGGGTGGAACTTTGGACTGCTAATCTTACATTTAGCCAGCCTGTATACATGAGCCTCTAAAACCTTGATTACTTCACCGCCTCATGGAATAAAGTAACATTCGTTGCAAGCAACACTTGATCTTTTTTTTTCTTCAAAATCCTCAAATGGAAACAACTGGGAAATATATTATTAAAGACTAGGCAGTCTTTTAAAATAGTCTATTGTAGAATCACATAAAAATTTATGTTTTTATGTCTTGTAGCCAACCATCAGTATGAGGCCAGAAGAGTCAGGCTGTGCTCCAAAGAATGGTAGCAGAATGGGGGTGGGATTGGGGATTGAAGAGAGGGTGACCTGTCAGCCTGTTTTCCCCAGCCTAGCCTATCCCTTCTGCCGTTGGTGTGAGTTACACATAACACTCCATCTCCAAACTCTGCCTTTTCATTGGCTGTCCCTCATCCCTGGAATGCTCTCCCTCCTTATCTCTGTCTACTCTGCTCTGGCTTCCTTCAAGACAGCTCAAATGCATCCTGGTCTCTCTCCTCGCCCTAGTGCGTTCTCTCTCCTTGCCCTAGCGCGTTTTCTCCGAGATTACCTTCTCTCTACTCTGTAAATATCTTGTCTGCACATAATTGTTTACATATTGTCTCCTTATTACAGTGTGAACTCCTTGAGGATAGAAACTGTTTTTGCTTTTCTTTTTATCCCCAGCACTTGGCACAATTCCAGGAACATAGCACTTAATAAATGCTAACTAATTAATTATAACTAATAAATTAACTAATTTAAAACAGTATATAAGTAAATTACTAAAATCATAGAAATTTAAATAAACAAAACCAAAAAATGGTTTGAGGGAAAGTCTTCTTTTTCCATTTTAATAATGCATATAGTGAGGACAGGGGTGGCGGGGGGGGGGGAAGAGGAGGATGACTAACCAAATCACGGTCCCTCTGACTGTCAGGTTTCCTTTGAAACCATCATTCTTCCTGAATATTGGTGGTTTTGAAATCTATACATAAAGCTATCATGAACTGCAATTCATTTTATTTATAGCAGTAAATTTCTTCCGATTGGTAGTTTTATGCGGTAACCAAAGCTAAAGATACCAATCTGTCACCAAATTTTCCTTGATAACATGCTACCAAATGAAACAAAATACTACCTTATACAGTCTTGCTTGGAAATGTAACTCCTCAACTTTGCAACTTTTTTATTTCTTGAAATAAATTTGAATTGTTAGGTTCTATACCTGGGGGGGGGGGGACAGTGGAGGAAGGGGGCAAAGGCCAGAAGGTACATTGCAAAAACTAGTATTTCCAGGGATAATATTTTGAAAGATCTCTTGGTGTGACTGTTGCAACCTGCTGAGCACACACACAATCCTTGGTCTAAACCAGCAGAGGTGGGGAACCTGTGGCCTCAAGGCCACAAGTGGCTCTCTAGGTCCTCGGGTGTGGCCTTTTGACTGAGTCCAAGTTTTACAGAATAAATCCTTTTATTAAGGGGATTTCTTTTATGAAGTTTGGATTAGGTCTAAGGGCAACAACTTAAGGGCCTAGAGGGCCACCTGTAGCCTCGAGACCACAGGTTCCCCACCCCTGGAAAGACTGTCACTTCATTTGAGCTTTTGCACTTGAAACATTGATTTTGTGAAATAAAGTTCTTGAATTATAGAAACCTGTTTGTGGAGAGCTTACTGCTTTAAAAACAAATTCTTACTAACTGTGTGACCCTGAGCAAGTCACTTAACTCCAGTTGCCTCACCAAAAAGGGAAAAAAAACCAACCCCAAACCTCATTACTCTTAATTACATCAGTGCAGGCACCAGGTACACAGTCCACAGGGTCTGTTTCTAGTGTTCAGTTCTTCACACCTGTCAGCTACAGCCACTGCTACACCTCCCCACCTCACCCCCCCTTCAAAGCAGGTGCAATAGGATGCTGCCGTAACATGAAGGGCCTATTATAAAAATATGGCAATGGCTGCCCTCAAAAATTATAGAAAAGAGTGTTCATCTACCTCATCTCTAGCTATGGTAAAATGTGTATAAATAGGGCTGCAGATGTTAAATATCATTTGTAAACTGGCTACACTGATTTCTTTTTCTAAACCACATTTGACCTAAACAAAATGCAAGTATAAATTTAGTATATCCCTCAGAAATTTCTTTGGAAATGATGTGGCAACCTCAAATTTTGCCTTTTCATATAAGTCTGTTATCAGATTTCTTAAATATAGTTGTTGGGTCATTTCAGTTGTTTGTATCTTCGTGATCACATTTGGGGTATTCTTGGCAAAGATACTGGAGTGGTTTGTCATTTCTTTCTCTATCTCATTTTAGAGATGAGGAAACTGAGGCAAACTGGTTTGAGTGACTTACCCAGGGTCACCCAGTAAGTGTCCCTGAGGCTGTATTTGAAACCAGGAGGATGAGTCTTTCTGACTCTAGGCCCAGCACTATATTTACTGCACCACCTAGCTGCCCAATATGTAACTGAGAGGAGGGTTGTTCAGCCATTTCAGTTGCATCTGCCTCTGTACCGCTATTTTCTTGGCAAAGCTACTGGAGTGTCTGAGGCTGGATTTGAGCTCAGGTCTTTCTGATTTCATGCCTAGTGCTTTATCCACTGTGCCAGCTACCTGCTCAACTTACCTGTGTTAGTTATTTTCAAAAGTCTACAGTTGAAGATCACTATTGAAACGTTAGATGGTAAATGTGGATTGACTATCCCGAAGGACAGGGTAACACTTGTGGTAACTTAGACTTTGGGTGCATTTTCTGGGGTTAAAGAATAAGACTGTGAGAACAGCAGTAGCCTCTGACACCTGGAATTTAGTGCTCTGACATTATGGAAATTTGCCCAACCTTCTTTGTGGAGATGATTAAGAAAAACCAAACTTTCTCTGCTAAAATACTGGTTATGCCTCCAAGATTCCTCTATTATGCTTTGGCTTTAAAACACACACTGCTCTTTTGAAATTGATTATTTGTCCTATTCCAGGGTCGTGGTATTTTTGCGAGTGGCAGTCCATTTGATCCTGTCACTCTTCCAGATGGTCGAACCTTCTATCCTGGCCAAGGCAACAATTCCTATGTGTTTCCTGGAATAGCACTTGGTGTTGTCGCATGTGGATTGAGGCACATCACTGATAAAATCTTTCTCACTACTGCCGAGGTATGACTATGAAGTGTACTGTATGACTAGCTTAGCCTACAAAACATCATGTGTATCCTATGTTACCTAACACTTTCTTCTTCACCTAGCCTACTTCCTCAGGGCGCCATCAGCTCTAAAGCCTTTGATCCCAGAAGTGACATTGTAGTAAGGAAGGTGGGAAATGGTAAAAAGAACAATGAATTTGGAGGCAAAGCCCTGAGCTGAAATCCTATTTCTGCCACTAATTAGCCCTATGAAATTAACCTCTCCAAGCCTAGGTTTCTTCATCTGTAAAATGGGGATAGTAATTCTTCCATTTAGGTACCTACCAGTTTTAAATGAAAGTGATAAGCATTGCCTATAGCCTTTGGGTTTAAATGATTAAGAATTTTTAAAAGTTAAAAAATACTTCTAGTCTTTAAGTCAGCTGTTAACATTTTGTGCCAGTGCTTGAGAAAGTAGTGAGGAAGATAATGTATTTAAAGAATATCAAACTGGGGTTGGGAGGCCTGGCTTTGAACCAGTGTCCCTTCTCCCTCCACCCAACTCCTTGGGAACATTACTTAACCTCCCCCTCAGGCCTCAGTTTCCTCCAGTAAAATAAAGAATATTGGACTAGATGACCCCTAAAAACTCTAGCCCTTCTAAAATTGTATATTTTATTAAAGTCTTATTTTTATTAGAAATACATTTTCTTTCTCTCCCAGTCTCTTCTCCATTGAAAAACAAATAAATTCCTTTTAACAAATCTGCATAGTCAAGCAAATAAATTCCTTCTTTGACCATGTTCAAAACAAATATGTCTCATTCTAACCAAAATCCATCACCTCTTTCCTATAGATAGACTTTATCATTAGTTCTCTGGAATCATGGATGATCGTTCTGTTAATAATAATTCTTATAGTGGTTTGGTTTTACAGTGTTGTTACTATTATATAAATTGTTTCTCCTAGTTCTCATTTTGCTCTTTCTCCATTTATAAGTCTTCAAAATTCTTCACTTTTGTAATATTGATGTTGTAATATATATTTGTTTTTCTGGTTTTGCTTATTCTACTCATAAGTTCATTTGTCTTTCCATGTCTCTTTAAAACCATCTATCTTCTCATTTCTTACAGGGCATTAGTGTTCCATTACATTGATATTCCACAGCTTGGTCAACTCTTCCCCAACTGACTGGACATCCCCTTAGTTTCCAGTTTTTTGCCAACACAGAAAGAGCTGCTAAAAAAAAACAAAATGAATATATATATATATAATATTTTTTTTTATATTTTTTTTGCTAAAAATATTTTTGCACATAAAGGATCTTTTCCTCTTTTGTTGATGTTATTTTATTTTAGGTAGTACAACTGCATGGCAAAAGTACCATTTCCTTGCTTTGTAACTCTGGCTAATTATAATAATGCACTGATTCCCAAAAATGGCCAGTTCACTTTTTCACGTGTACATTTTCTTGAACAAAATGTAATGTAACTTCGATCTGGAGTTATAAATCATAACTAAGAACCCTGAGGCCTCCTAAGGGCAAGTCTCCTGAAAGCCTGTCACTGTTATACAGAAACAGTTCTAGTATAGACCACAAGGAAAAAGTACTTGCTCTCAAACAACTGATAATCTACTAGAGATAAGGACTTCTTATCTCTTACCATAAACCTTTGCAAAAAGAATAAAAATATAATATTCTTAGCATTATATATTAATTTATTTAAAATATTATCCTACTTACATTGCTGGGAGTGTAGCAGCTAGAGTAATAGCATATTTAAAGAGTGATTTTAAGGTTTACACAGCATTTTCCTCACCAACAGCCCTATTAGTTGCAAGTCTTCTCTTTATAGATAAGGAAAACAGTCTCAGAGAGGTTTGACAAACCTTGGTCATACAGCCAGTAAATGTAAGAACCAGTGTTCTAACTCAGGCATCCCAACTCTAAGTCCAAAACACTTTCCATTGTACCACACAGCCTATCTTTTTAGAATAATGAGTTTTTGTTAACCAAAATCTTCATCTATTTCATATTCTCATGCTAACATATTTCACAAACTAGAAACATGTGGAAGTAACTTATTAACTTAAGATTGTCCTACAGCTACAAATCACAATTAAATCAATTAATAATTATTATATTTCTTATCATGTAAAATGCTATTATGAATAGAAACTAGATTTGCGTAAGTCATTCTGTATTCAGTAGCCTTCCCTTCCCAGAACAAAAGAGTTGCAGTGACTGAAATTGCCCTGTGCCAGTAGATGTCTGGAAGAAAGAGTGTTCCACCCCTGGCTTTTCCTGAACTGCACTGGGAGCATGGTATCTGATATCTTGAGGTTCCTTTAGCCCAGAAAAATTTATTAAATATAAGCAGATGTTAAAATGCAAAATAATATTTTCCGTGCTATTCTTACATTAAGGAAAATAGAATCATTGTCTGTTTATAACAATTCTCCTGACTTGGGGGGGTGGGGGGAATGGATGTTTTAGAGTACCATAATCAGTATTTTTTTTTATCCTAAATCACTCTAGCTCCCCCTAGTGATGGTTTGATTGAATGCCCAAATTTGATGCCCATAAAAAGAGGTAGTAATAATACCAAAAAAGCACTAAATTAAAATAAACCATTATGTGGCTCTGATTAGATCTTTAAGGTCCTATTTTGCTCTATATAGTCTTATCTTTTCATCTGTGTTCCTGTCTCATGTTTTCTCTACCCTCCACTGCTCTCTGCTGCATTTGACACTATTGACCAAGTCTAGTTAGAAACCCCCTCGCTTGTTTACTTTAATACAATACAATCCTGGATTTGACCCTATTTTTCTGATCATTGTGTAGGTTCCTCTTCCTTTTCCCACCCCTTAATTGTGGGTTTTCTACAAGACTGAATCCTAGACCCTTTTCTGAAATCTCATCCATTCTCATGGCTTCACCCATAACTTTCATACTGGTGGTGATACCTCTACATAGTCATATCTTTTCATCTGTGTTCCACCTGCATAATGGATATTTCCAGATGAATGTCTTACCGTTACTTCAAACTTGTCCAAAGCCAAACTCCTCACCTTCCTCTCAAACTGGTTCCTACTCTCTGTTTTCCTGTCCATCAATAGCACCACTATTTTTCCAGTGGTCTAAGGGTGAATTCTTCTCTAATCTTGTCAGAATTTCTTCTTGTAGCCTTTCCTTTCCATTCACCTTGCTACCATGTTAGTCTAGGCCCACTTCATCTTTACTGTTATATTACTCAAATAGACACCTAACTTATTTCCTTCCCAACACTTTCCCTTCCTCTAATCCATTCAGCATGCCACCCTTAAATCTAATCTTCCTAAAAGTGTTTCCCCCACCTACTCAAGAATGTACATCTCCACATACCTACCATTAAATCTGCATACCCAGTCTTGGCATTCAGAGCCTTCAGTATTCTGGCCCCTACACTATAAAGTCACCCATTTTTCCTCTCACTGTTTATCTAAATATATTTTCCGTTAAGGCCAGTTTCCTTACTGTACCCTAAATATTCCATGTTCACTGAGGTGGTAAAGTGTAATAGAAAGTTAGATTACGAGCTGAAACACCTGGGTTTGCTTACTAAATCATCAGATGACTGGCTAGCTGTGTGAGCTTGTGTTATTTCTTAACCTCTTTGTACTTCATTTTCTTTATCTGTAAAATGATATGATTATGATTCTGCTGTTTCTTCTGTACCTTTAGTTATGTTATTTGCCTTCATAGGGGTGGGAGAAGAAGAATTCTCTCCCCACCCCTATCCTGACATAACCTTCATCTAGCCTATATCAATCTTTATCAAACTTAACAAAGCCAAGGTCAAGTCGTGACTTCTCCTTTAAGTTTTCCCTGACACACATAGCCCTGCCCATTCTTTTGTTTCTGCCTACCTTGTTCTTTGTATTATCCATTTTTAGCATTTGAAACCTGTTTTGAATTGTCTTCAAATTGCTACATGAAAATCTCAAACTAACACATAAGTTTCTCGAAAGCTAGAAACGTCATGCTAATGTGCTTCTTTTGTATCTCCCATAGAACACGGGACAGTGCTGAGTGCATGCAGTAGGTGTTCAGTAGATGCTTAATGAATTCTATTGCAATTACTCATTCTTTTGGTATCTGTTATGTAGAAGTGCCAAACAAGTACTCACTTCCTGCTAGGGCCCCAGGAGAGGAGCGAACTCTTCTTTGTTAAGAGTTATTTATCTCAAAAGTTAACAAAGGAAGACCTTTCTGAAATGTTCCATAGGAGTTCTGAATTTATGCCTGATAGATTGTTTCACATATACTGTGCGCATATTAGAGGCAGGTAGGTGCACAGTGGATAGAACTCTGAACCTGGAATCAGGGAGACTTGCATTCAGATTTGGGTTCAAACACTTACTGTGTAACCCTGAGTAAGTCACCCAACATCTTTTTGCTTCAGTTTCTTCAGCTGAAAAAAGGGGATAATAACAGCACTTAGTTTGCAGGATTGTTGTGAGGATCAAATTAGATGTTTGTAAAGTGCTTAGCTTAGCACATAGCAGGTGCTATATAAATGCTCCTTTCTTCACTTCCCTCCCTATTAGATGGACGTTTTGTGGGCATGGTGAACCATGCCATTCTTTGGCAGCAGTTTAATAGTCAGCGTTTCTGGATACCATGTCATGTCACCAGAACTTTGTTAGTTGAATGATAAATTAGTGGTATGTGCTTGGCACGGAATAACTGTAGCTTTATAAGAATATATACCATATTAATTGAAGATACAAAAAGTAAAATATGATGATAAATTCCCCCAGCAGACTGTTGAATGCATCCTCTATATCGCTTTTCCATTTCTGCTGTTACCACCCTAGATCCCTCATTACATATGACCTGAAGTATTGTGATACTGGCCAATGAATGCTCTGTCCTGTCAGTCAACCAGCATTCTTTACTACATGCCAGGCATGTGCTGAGCTCTGGGGATACAAAGAAAGGCAAAAATATGGTTTCTGCCTTCAAAGAGTTCATAGTCAAATGGGAGAGACAGCATGCATTTAATTATGTACATATAAGCTATATACAGTGTAAATCTGTATAAATGGAAGGTATTCTTAGCAGGAAAATACTTGAAGGGGAGTGGGGGAATGAGGAGGGATTGGGAAAGGCCTGCTATAGAGGATAGAATTTGAGTTTAGTCTTCAGGGAAGCCAGGTGGCATGTAGGTAGAGGCGAGGAGGAAAAGCATTAAGGGCATGAGCTTCCTCTTAGTGGAGAACAGGGTCCCTCTGTTACACATCATTAGGCCCTTCCAAAAGCAGGCTCACCAAACAGACATGTTCCCAATACTTAGCCCTCATTGGCCAGGCCCCTGTTACAATTGATGAAGCCTCCTGACTGATTTCTACCTCTTTGTGAAGGCTCTCCTGTCTTCACAATTCATCTGAAAGATTACATCCAAATTAGCACAGAATTGTACCACTCTCTGCCTCAGAATCTTCAATGTTTTCCCATTGTCTATAGAATAAAATTTAGATGTCTTAGCCAAGAATTTAAGATCATCCTTATCCAGCTCAACCTACTTTTCTAGCCTTACCTCCAACTCTTCCCCTGGACAAAATCTAAACTCTAGCCAAAATTTACTTGCCTAAATATAACTTTATTTGTCACTTCCATATGAACTATTCTTTCATCCGTCTCTTCCCGTTTAAATCCTGCACAGTCATCAAACAACACCCCCTTCGTGAACCTTTCCCTGACTCTCATCCCCAACATAAAGGATAAATCTTTATGATTCTCATAGCATTTATCACATCCTTGTTGTTGTTCAGTTGTTTAATCGTGTTTATGCTGTCCATGGGGTTTTCTCGTCAAAGATACTGGAGTGATTTGTCATTTACTTCTCCTGTGGATTAAGGCAAACAGAAGTTAAGTGACTTGCCTGGGAGCACACAGCTAGTTAAGTATCTGAGGTCAGAGTTGAACTCAGGTCTTCTAACTCCAGGCCCAACGCTGTATCCTCAGAGTCCTCTAGCTGCTTCCTTATCATATCCTACCTTGTATTAAAGTTTTGTGTACTTCTCTTCTTAGCCTATTACATCATATGTCTCTTGAGGAGTAGGGATTGTGCCTTAGTCATTGTGCTCAATTTGCATCAGTTCATACAAGTCTTTCCAAGTGTCTCTGAAACTGTTCCTTTTATTATTTCTTATGTGCTTTAATCATTTTTGTATACTCCAACCATGTAGTTCCTTCTACTCAGTAGGGACACTATGAATATTTATTAGAAGATTGAAATCTATAATGGGATATAGTATTCCCCTTTGAGTCAACCTTTCTGGCCCTCTCGATAGCCTTCCTGACCTCTTCTTTACGCCCTGGATACCTCCTAAAGCTTCTGCTGTCTTGGGGACTGATTCTTACCTTTATGCCACTCTGGATCAGTCCTCTGGACTGTTTCCTTTATCCTTCAGTTAGCTCACATGACCCAGATAGCTGCCATTCTCAGTGGTCTCCAGACTTTTTTGATTACCTGCCTTTATCAGCAAAAAAAAAAAAAAATTGAACATACACCTCTAATATATCTATATTTATTTATTAATTATATGCACATACTAATGTGTGAATAATTTATAATAAACACACAGGGTTTGAAATGGGAAAAGATGATACAAAGATGAAATAATATTTTAAATAATTTGATTTATTTTTTCACAGTCCAAAAAACTTTCTGTCCTTGCTTTTTAAATTAATGGTGATTTTTTAATAAAAAGTATTAATTTGTTGTTAATATGGCTAATTATTAATAATATGTGTGTTCTGTATTACTGAGTATGATTCATTAATTGTGAAAATCTTAGTTTAACACTTTAAGTGTTAAACTTACAGTGATTTGATACAAGGTCCATGAACTTGGATGAGAAAAAAAGTACATCTTTATTTTCATTAACCATTAATTGAAATTTATCATTTTCTTTCATTATGAGTGTAGTTAATGAATCACAGCTGTATTAGCAATACAAAGTCACAGGACTTTGTCACCAGTAGAAATCACATATATTTTCGTATCACATTGCAGTTGTTGCAGATATCTGGAAATGTTGTTTGTGCTCACCACGACTTTGAAATCACTATAGTTAGTATACTAGCTATTTGAATGTGATCCCAGTCTTCCCACTTGCAGACTTCATTTAAGTATAATTGATTTCCTTTGTAATCCTGTGTACTTTATTTTATGTATTTAAAACATTAAGAAGCCCCTAGGCTTCACAAGACTGCAAAGGGGGTCCATGACACAAGAGGTTAAGAACCCCTGCTATAAAACCTCTGAAGCTAGCATATTTGTTCTTTTTTATCTATTTGATTTTTGTCTAGTTTAATCTGTAAATGTTCTTTACGTTATTAATGTTTGAAAATTCAAAAAGATACTAAGTTGTACCCAAAAAAATTGGCTTAGGCAGTATTATTTATGTGAAGTAAGTTGTTACTCCCAAGCTTTTCTCACCCTCCCCCCCATACCATTGTAATAAAGGTCTAGTTTATGAGCTGAAATGTTAGGGAGTTTATTCACTAATATATATTATTCCCAGCATCCAGTTTTCAACTCTTTGACGCATAGTAAGCACTTCACAAGTGTTTGTTGGCTTTTACAGAATTCCCATCATGGATCACAAATTACATTGGATAGCTTAAAGTTTAACTTTTTTTTCCATTTTATTTCTAGGTTATAGCTCAGGAAGTGTCAAATAAACACTTGGAAGAGGGTCGTCTGTATCCTCCTTTGAATACCATTCAAGATGTTTCCTTGAAAATTGCAGTGAAGGTAAAACCTCCTTTTACATCCCCCTTCTTAAATTTAAATCTTATTCTCTCTCTCTCTCTCTCTCTCTCTCTCTCTCTCTCTCTCTCTCTCTCTCTCTCTCTCTCTCTCTCTCACACACACACACACACACACACATTCTCAATTACTCCAAATCTACCCTCTATTCTCCATCCAGCTCATATCTAATCACTTGCCAAATCTGTCCATTCTTCTTCCAACACCTCTCATTTCTATCCCTTCCTCTCCGCTCACAGCCACCTCTCACTTGGAATATTGTAACAACTTCCTAAACTGATTTCCCTCATTTCTATTCTTTACTCTTTCCCATCCATATAGTTGCTAAAGTAATATTCCTTATGAACAAGTCTGACTATGTCCTTCTCATACTCAAGAATCATCAATGGCTCCTTTTTCCTCTAAGTTAAACACAAATCCGTCAGCCTAATATTTACTATCCAGAGCAGTCTGGCCTACTTTCCTCAACTTAAAAAAAAAAATGATCCAGCATTTTTCTCTTCCTACCAACTGCCTCTCTCCTCCATTGGAGGGTTTTGGGGTGATGTGGAAACAGACCTTTGTAACAAATATGCGTAGTCCAGCAAAACAAATTCCCACATTGACCATATCCAAAAACATAAGTTTCATTCTGTATCTTGATTCCATCACCTGTCTGTCAGGAGAGTATGCTTAGTGTCATCAGTCTTCTGGAATCAAGAATAATCACTGCATTAGTTAGAGTTCTTAAAGCTGTCTTTACCTTGTTGTCATTATGTAAATTGTTCTTCCTGGTTCTGCTCACTTTGCGTCAGTTCATACAAATCTTTCTAAAGTTCTGTGAAACTGTCCACTTCATTATTTCTTATAGCATGATAATATTACATTATATTCATATGTTATAATTTGTTAAGCCATTCCCTAATTGATGGACAGTCCCATAGTTTCCAGTTCTTTATCACTACAAAAAGAACTTCAGTGAACATTTTTGCCTATATGGTTCCTTTCCTCTTTCTTTGATTTCTTTGGGTTATAGGCCTAATAGTAGAATCATTGGGTCAAAGGGTATGCACAATTTAGTGGCTTCATTTGAAATCTTTTTGTTCATAACATTTGACTGTTTACCAGTTGGGGAGTAGATATTGTTCTTATAAATTTGAATTCCTCATATATCTTGAAATTGTGACCTTTATCAGAGAAACTTGCTGCAAAGATTTTTTCCCCCACTGTTAATTGTGTTCCTTCTAATCTTAGCTGCATTGGCTTTGTACAAAACCTTTTTTGTTTTAAACTGTTTGCAGTCAAAATTACCTGATTTATCTATTCTCTATTCATTATTTAATCATGAACTCTTTGCCTCTCATCCTACCATTCCAGTCTTATTTCACAATGCTGTCTTTCATGCACTCTTAAGTTCTTGCCAAACTGTTCTACTTAATACTCAATAATCCATCGTCTGTCTCCATCCTTTTGTACAGGGCTGGTCTCCAGAACCTGTAATGTACTTCATCCTTACATCCACCTCTTAGAACCTTTATATTTAAGGTTTGGCTTAGCTACTGCCTTCTATTTAAAGCCTTTGCTGACCCCCAGACCGTTATTAGTGTTCTCTCCTTCCTCAAATTATCTTGTATTTAATTATCTCTGTACACAGTAGATTCAAACCCTCCCTCTGTAAGCTCCTTGAGGGCAGGGATTTTTTTTTATCTTGTTTTTGTTTCCTCAGCACCAAGGAAGGTTCCTTGCACATACTAGATAGTTAACAAATGCTTGTTGAATTGAATTAGGTGAGTAGCCAGTTATGTTGGGAGTCCTCTTTAAAATTAATTCAGTTACCAGCAGAAATACGTGTATACTTGTCTCCTGATTTTTAATAATGAGCTCAAGCCCTCTAAATCATGTTCAGAAACAAGGCTGCATAAATTTGTAGAGAAAAACCTCAGAGGATTACTCATTGCAAGTCTGAAAGAATATTAAAGATTCTCATACAACAGTGTTGTGGGTTGAAAATGACCATTCTACTCCACCTCTCCTTTTCTCTTTAGAAAGGTAGAGGAACGTTTCAGAACAGAAAAGAATTCTAGAAACTAAAGGATACATTGGTAGAGTCTTCTCCCTCTTACAATTATAAGGGACACATTGAGCCCTGAAGATAAAGAAGAAAATAATTGGGATTAACAAATCATTTCCTTTTAATAAGATAATAGGATCCAGCTTAAGAGATGGAAGGTACCTTAGAAGCCAAAGAGTCCAAATCCCCTGTTTTTCCTAACCTCTACATTTCTGTTGAGGGTACCACTATCCTTTAAGTCACCCAGATTCATAATCTTGAAGTAATTCTTAATATTCTCCTCTCCCTCTTGCTTCACGTATGATTTGCCAAAACTTGTCAATTCTACCTTCATAATATATCTTACATTGCTCCCTTTTCTCTACACTCCTCAGGCCCTCATCATTCTTGTATGCACTGTTGCAACAAACTTCTAATTAGTTTCCCAGTCTCTCCCATCTCCAGCCCATCCTCCAACTGGTTGCTGAAGTGATATTCCTAAAACAAAGGTCCTGCTATGTCAGTCCCCTGTTCAAAAAGTTCCAGTGCTTTCTCTTACCCCTAAGATAAGATACAAACTCCTCTGATTTTTAAAGCCCTTCACTATCTGGCTATGGTGTACCTTTTCAGATTTATTCCTTATTACTCTGTTCTCTATAGTCCTTGGGGTATTATGTAAATACCAGCTATTTCTATAGAGGGATTCATATGGTTGAGGAGGTTTGGAGGGTTATTTTTAGGATATTAGAGACCTAAGTATCTTTGTAAGCAGAGGAACCAATGAATATTGAACTTAGGAGAAAAAAAATGGGATAATTGGTAGAACAAGAACCTGAAGGAAGTAGAATGTTATTGGCTCAGAAAATCATAGGTGCAGTGGTTAGCCCTGGAAAGGAGGAAGATTTACTTCTTTCCCACCCTAGAGACAAGAAGGAAGAAAGAGAGGATAAGTAAAGGTTAAGAAATTTTGGGGCAGTGAGAAAGATGTAAGAATTCTCTTATGGATGGTCCTCAATTTTCTTCGTATAAGAAAAAATAAAGCTTTCTTTTAAGAGTACAGTAGGGGTAGCGTTGGAAATGTGATAAGTTCAAGAAAGGTTTGGACCAGGTTTGTGATGGGGAGTCAACTAGTCAGCAATAGTGTGCATTAATGAGGTTAAGATTGACTTTATAATAACTTGGCTAACTTGGGTTGGGATTTGATAAGATGAAAATGATAGATCATAAGGGCCAGTAATCTGTGAGTGTCTGCTTCATGGGCGACAAAGGAAGCCAGAAGGGTAATGGTTGGACACAAATATTCAGACTTATAGTTATTTGTGTACATATCTTATCTCTACCCTCAAGCTTAATCTTCCACTCACAATTAATAGCACCGTGAGGTCAGGAATTCTGTCATTTAAAAAAATAATTTTTTATAGCAATTGTATTCTCATCCTAGAAAATAGGTCGGGGATGCAGGTACAGTGCTTTCCATATAGTAGTTGTTAAGTCAGTTGAATTAAATGGTCTGAAAGATATTGAGAGACTAATTGTCACTGTGTAAGTGAAGAATAGGTTCATTTAGCATGAAAGAATGAAAGTAGTGGAAGATAAACTGTTTGTAGATAGAAAGAAGATTTTGAAAATTCAAGATTAGAGATGGAGCATAGCAGCAGAACTGCTATCCTGAGCCCCCAGGATAAGGAATTTTACTATGAACTGACAACAAATTAATTTTTTTGGATAATTAATTTTTAGTTTTCAACATTCACTTCCATAAGATTTTGAGTTTTAAATTTTCTCCCCCACCCACTTCTTCTACCTCACCTCCCAAGAAGGCATATGATCTGATATAGGCTCTACATATACATTCACATTAAGCATATTTTTCTATTAGTAATGTTGTAAAGAACAATTAGAACTAATGGGAGAAAGCACAATAATGAATAAAACCAAATAACAAAGGAAAAGGAGAGCAAATGGTATACTTCTATCTGCATTCAGACTCCATATTTCTTTTTCTGGGTGTGGATAGCATTTTCCATCATGAGTCTTTTGGGCTTGTCTTAGATTCTTGCATTGCTCTGATGAGATAAGTCTATCAAAGTCAGTTATCTCGTAATGTGGCTGTTACTGTGTACAGTGTTCTGGTTCTACTCATTTCACTCTGCATCAGTTCATGTAAGTCTTTCCAAGTTTTTTTGAAGTCTGCCTGCTCATCATTTCTTACAGCACAATAGTATTCCATTACATTCATATACTACAACTTGTTCATAAGTTAATGACTGACCTAGCCATTTCGCTTTTGAAGACAGGCTTAGCAAATCTTAGGAAAAGCTGGGATTGGTATAGGCTATGAAACAAGAAATGTCAACTATTGCTAATTTTAATATGAATACAGCTTCTGGTTCTTTAGTAATTTAGTAAATGCCAATTCATGGCTAAAAATTTACTCTTACTAAAGGGCATAGTTTATTCTGTTAGTTATGTACATATTCCTTATCCCAGGTTAACATTTGATAATTTTGGCAGTTTTCTCTTGCAGTCTTTACTTTGATAATAATTATCTGATCTTACAAAAATGCAATATTTTCTACCTGCAAAAGCTACATAGTTTCATGAAAAATCATTATAGAACACAGGCAAAGATAATTTTCTAAGATAGAGGAAACTCCTATGGTGACCTATAGGCCGTATTCTGGCAAATTTGGATTTAGGAAATAGATACTGACCTTGCATAGTTTTTCTGGGACTAGTATCTTTTAATACTTGGGTAAAGTTTGATTCCAGAACTGCTCATTGATACAGTATAACTACATAATGAGTATAATGCCTACTAATTCCAGTAGGTATTGCTCCTTCTACTGTACCATGCAGCTAGCTACTCCTTTATATTCAATATGTTTATTAAAGTAAAAATGCATACTTTATTATATTTCCAGATTGTGGAAGAATCCTACCTTGATAAATCAGCTACTGTCTATCCTGAGCCCCAGGATAAGGAAGCATTCGTCCGCTCTAAGGTTTACAGTACTGATTATGACCAGATTCAACCTGACTGTTACCCTTGGCCTAAGGAGGCAATGAAAATACAGACTATAAATCAGTTCTAGAAACACAGTACAGCGGTAAATATTTGTGGCTCTATTAATGGTGTTTTGAAGTTGTTGGGTTTTTTCCTTTGTCAGAGATGGATACTTTGTAATGATTGAGAAAGCTCTCAAATTAAGATAATTTTTGTTTATTAACTTTCTAGTTTAATTATCTCTTGATTGATTGACAGTCATTAATCCAGGTTAGGATAAACGGCCCTTTAGACAATAGTTCTTTGTTTTCATTCTGTTTGTTCCTGTTTCCAATGTTAATCTTTCTGTTCCAAGTTCTTTTTGAAAGTTGTTGTACCTACTGAAAAATCTCATTATTTTTACATAGTGCACTGAATAGTAACACTAAAACTAGAAATAAATAAAGCAGCTTTAAAATATGTGATTCTTTTGTTAAGCTATACTTTTTTGTAAGAATAATAAGTTTTGGGAACAGAATCTTTATACTTACAACAGAAACTACAATGTCAATATCTTTTGCAGTTTCTAAAGAAAGTGACTTCTCAGGTTTTCATCAATAGTCCTTGGTTATGTAGGTTCAATTTGTGCAACTGATTAAAAAATTTTTGAGAAGGCTCAATCAGTACTGTTTACAGTGCTTTGTATAACTTCATGTTTGTTTATTTCCTTTCCATCATTCACCTTATGCAGTAACACTCCACTGTATCCACTGCACTCCCTGCAAAGAGCTTCCCACTCTGCAGCTGCCATGCCATAGCTTTGGGGAAAGGGACCATGCCCCTGTTTCCAATGGAGGCCCATTCCCATTCTCTGTGGTATGGCAACTGGAAGATAAAGGAGGCAGACAAAGAGATGTTCCTTTTAGCATGATTCCCCAGGGTGTTACTTTTAATGAGACCCCTGGGTCCGAGTCTAACCTCAGTACCCAGAACAAGTTGTCTTGCTGTATGGCTCAGTGCCATAACTCCAAACATAGCTGACCAGGTCATTCCCTCTTTTCCATTATCAACTATAATGCTTCTCCATTGTTAACTCAGGTAATTGAGAATTAGCCATATTGCACTAAAATAATCTACCTCTGTAGTTCAGAGGGAAATTATAAGTGAAAAATTTATATACCAGTATTCCCAATAAGTCACCTTTATATTTTTTTAGTTATATTCAATAAGAAATAGTCTTGCATCAAATATAAACCATCATTTTAAAGTTACCATGACAACTGTAGAAGAGCATATCACGGGATGCTGACATGAGTGTGATAAGAGTTTTACTTTAACAGTCAGCAGTTGAGCCAGTGACATAAGTCAAGCTCAGGTTTGACAATCATTCATTATTTATCTATAGAATTATTTTATTAAGAAAGTTTCTTCCTTCTGAGGTCATGCTTTTGAAAATGTACTTCAAGGTAAAGTGTACTAGGAAAAAATATTTTTGGCAGAGTTGAAGACCATACCAAATTTTATTTTTAGGGACTAAATGGAGTGGTAGTGGTGGAAGTAGGAGTTTTGAGGGTACAAGTCAACAGAGAGAGTTGCCTACATGTCATTGTTTTGGGAAAGTAGCAGAATGAATTTCATAATTCTTGTCTATTTCCATGTTTTCTTATAGCTCTAATAAAACCTATTTACCTATGCAAAAAGATTGTAATGAACTATTAAAATGTAAATGCTTAACTAAAAAGCGAATTAATAAAATAATGAGATGCCCATGACCTTTCTTTTCTTTTTTTTTTTAAGTGATTCCTATCAGTACATCACAAATTGACAATGTGTTATGGCCTTGTGTTCCTTGATATCATGGGTTTTTAAAAAAAAACCCTTTAAATTTTACTATGATTGACAACAAATTAATTTTTTTGGATAATTAATTTTTAGTTTTCAACATTCACTTCCATAAGATTTTGAGTTTTAAATTTTCTCCCCCACCCACTTCTTCTACCTCACCTCCCAAGAAGGCATATGATCTGATATAGGCTCTACATATACATTCACATTATGCATATTTTTCTATTAGTAATGTTGTAAAGAACAATTAGAACTAATGGGAGAAAGCACAATAATGAATAAAACCAAATAACAAAGGAAAAGGAGAGCAAATGGTATACTTCTATCTGCATTCAGACTCCATATTTCTTTTTCTGGGTGTGGATAGCATTTTCCATCATGAGTCTTTTGGGCTTGTCTTAGATTCTTGCATTGCTCTGATGAGATAAGTCTATCAAAGTCAGTTATCTCGTAATGTGGCTGTTACTGTGTACAGTGTTCTGGTTCTACTCATTTCACTCTGCATCAGTTCATGTAAGTCTTTCCAAGTTTTTTTGAAGTCTGCCTGCTCATCATTTCTTACAGCACAATAGTATTGCATTACATTCATATACTACAACTTGTTCAGCCATTCCCCAGTTGATGGGCATCCCCTCGATTTCCAAAACAGAGAAAGAAAATTATAGACCAATTTCCCTAATGAATATAAATGCAAAAATTTTAAATAAAATATTTGTAAAGAGATTACAACAACTTATCTCTCGAGCATAATACACTATGACGAGGTAGGAGTTATACCAGGAATGCAGGGCTGGTTCAATATTAGGAAAACTATCAGCATAATTGAGCATATCAACAACAAAGCTAATAGAAATCATATGATCATCTCAATAGATGTAGAAAAAGCATTTGACAAAATACAATAGCCATTCCTATTAGAAACACTAGAGACCGTAGGAATAAATGGGAGTCTCCCTTAAAATGATCAATAGCATCTATCAAAAACCATCCACAAGCATTATATACAATGGGGATAAGCTAGAAGTATTTCCAATAAGATTGGGGGTGAAATGAGGGTGTCCATTATCACCACTGTTATTCAATACTGGAAATGTTAGCTTTAGCAATGAGAGAAGGAAAAGAAGTTGAAGGTATTAGGCAAAGAAGAAAACAAAGCTATCACTCTTTGCAGATGACATGATGATATACTTAGAGAATCCTAGAGAATCAAGTAAAAAACTACTTGAAATAATAAACAACTTCAGCAAAGTTGCCGGCTATAAAATAAACCCACATAAATCATTGGCATTTCTATATATTACCAACAAAGCCAAACAGCAAGAGATAGAGAAATTCCATTTAAACTTACTGTAGACATTATGAAATGTTTAGGAGTCTACCTCCTGAAACAAACCCAGGAATTCTGTGAACACAATTACAAAACACTTTTCACACAAATAAAATCAGATCTAAATAATTGGAAAAAACATCACTTGCTCATGGGTATAATAAAAATGAGAGTTCTGCCTAAATTAATTTACTTATTCAGTGCCATACCAATCAAACTACCAAAAAATTATTTTACAGAGCTAGAAAAAAATAGTTAACAAAATTCATCTGGAAGAACAAAAGGTCTAGAATATCAAGGGAATTAATGAAAAGAAATGCAAGGGAAAGTGGCCCAGCTGTACCAGATCTGAATTTGGTTTTATAAAGCAGCAATCACCAAAACTACTTGGTGCCGACTCAGAAATAGAGTGGTGGATCAGTGGAATAGGTTAGGTATGTAAATTTTTTTATTGTTAGATTATCATGTACCTTTTCACCAGTCAGGCATATAGATTCTCAAGGGACCACAGGTCCAGAATTCCAAGAAAAATTGAGAACATGGCATTAAAATAAAGCAGAGTATTGTATAATTGTAATGGCCAATCTTGGCCTTTGAAAAAAGATGAGGAAATCCACCTTCTTCCTTTCCTCAGAGAGGACTGTGGATGCGGAATATCTCATGTTATCAGATTGGAGGCTGTGTTGGTTTTACTTAACTCTTTTTCTTTGTTACCGGGGAGTAACATTAGAAATGATTGTAATTGAGATCAGTAAGATCTCAATTTAAAAAGAAAGAAAAATAGATGATGAATAATACATTTGAATTAATATTTTTCAATTAGTAATACAGGATTTTTTGCACAGAGACCACTTGAGCAGAAGTTAGGGAGGGAATGGAAGGAAGGACCATTCCTCTTTGGGAGATGAAGACCCCAGCACACCACAAGGCTGCAATAACAGCAATTTATTTAATATATTATTTAAATGCTCTTTCCAGTCACGTTTTGCCCCACCTTCCACCCTCTAGGAAGCAGGCCATCTGGTAGCTTCCCATTTTAACTAATTTTCTTGATAACTACATGCTAAAGTATGAATTTTCTTCACATTTGACATCTGGTCTGGTGATAGGAATAGAATGGTAACCCTCACAGCAAAGAGAGAGATGCTTTGAGGGCACAAGCTGAAAGGTGGCTTGTTATAAACCATTCCCTTCCCCAAACCTGCAGAATATCATATTAGACCTGGAAAGGACCTGCATGACCTAGCCCAACTCTTTCATTTTATAAAAAAGAAAACTGAGACGCCACAGTGGGGAAGTAATTTGTGAAAGGTCACAAAGGAGAGGTTATTTAAGCCCATACCAAAATTGAGGCTGAGCTGAAATAAAGAAAAGGACCCCAAGTCTCATACACCATTAGAGTTGGGAAAGACATTTTAGTTCAACCCACTCCACGGTCCATAAGACAAGAAATACCAGATTAAAAAAGCAAAATGTTCAAACTTACATCAGTTCCTACATAACATTAATCTCAATAAATTCATGCCCAGATGTGGCATGACTGCCAAATGAGTATCTCATTTACTCCTGGACTGGTTCCCAAAAGTCAATCCCTGCTCCTCAGGGCATCACTGCAGGACTAGCTATAAAACCCAGTAGGAATTCAGACTCCCAGACTACCTGAGGCTGGTTTGCCTGACGTTTTGAAACTCACGAGGTCCCATCCTGTGGACATACCATCTTCCACCTAAAGCAAGAAAGGATAAACACTGAGGCAAGCAAAGAATGAGGCCTGTGGTCAGAGGGACAAGTGGTCTTTGGGAAGTAGAAGACCCAAGGGCTCTCTCCCTTGTCTCTTGTCTCTCACCAGATACAAAAAGCAAAGGGGTCAAACCAAGAGCAGAGAAGCTGCAGAGAATGGCCAAGACCAACTAAGATCTTTTGAAGGCACCTTCAGATCTGGCCAGTCAAAAATGGTTTCTCCTAACATGGTTAGCAGACCAGACCCAATTAACAGAAAGTCTACATATGGCTCCATTATACATCCTCACAGATCTCCCAAAAACATGATCTCCAGCTTCTACGATATAGGTGATCTTCAGGACCATCTATAACATCCCTGGACAGAACACTGGACATCCTATAGCCTGAGATTTCTTGGTCTTTAGGCTACTGGTCATTCCCTGTGATGAGGATGGAATCTGGACCCCAGAAAGGAAAAACCCCAGACTTTCCCACACGGCCAAATCTCTGAAGTTCACTTGAGTCTATAATCCTATGAACTGGCCTTTCATTATCACCTGAACCCAATATCCCAGTTCTGTTACCTGGCCCTCCAGATGGCCCCTGGCCACTTTCCACTCTTAATCCTATCTAGACTCCATTCTCTCTTGGCCACATGGTCCTGGTCCCAGGCTTTCTGTCATTCTCCCCTCCCCCCCCAGCTTACTGGCCACTCCCATCCAGATCTTCCTGAGCTTCCTCCAGTAACCCCAAACTACTTGGCTACTCCTAGATCCTTCCCACAGTCTTTCTATATATAAGGTCCATCTGGCCTCCATTAAGGTGCTCAGATTCTTAAAATCTAGCCACTGCTCAGTAATGTTCAGATTCCTTAGGAGTCTGCCCATTATGACAGATGTTCTAATAAACCTTGTCTTCACTCGGGCAGGACCCAGGTGTTGTGATTTTGGGGTCCCAGCACCCCTAAACTCCTAAACCTCAACATTTGGAGGTTCCAAGGTCTGTATCCTGGGGCTTTCTCAAGGATACCTCTGTTCTTGCCTCTGAATACAAACACTTAGAGGCTAAACATGTGCATATCTTTGGTCATCTTGGGAGGCAACCCTTCACTGGAATTGACTTTGTTGGAGGGCCCCCTTTTCCTGTTTCAAGTGGGCTTCTTACTCAGCTCTTATGTAGTTCTAGTGGGGTACAGGCCCAAGCCAAGACCTTTGCCCCTTACCCCAAAAAGGATTTGGGCCCCATTTGTCTACAGGCCCTAGAAAAGCCCCACCTTGGACTCTCTTTGAATTCCCACTTGATCAAGGAAGTCTCTAGCATTTGCCTGAGGTTATAATCAACTGGTCTTTCCATTCCATATCTTATCCTTATCCTTATCCCAATCTCCCAATCCTATTATGCTTAACCTAGTCTAGCCCTTCATTGTCTATTACCTCCCCCACCTTGATTCTATCTAGATCGCATTCTAGATCTCCCAGTCACTCCCATCTAGAGCCTCCCTAGACCCCCTTCTCCCAGACCCCTCCTCCAGTCATCCCAAACTACCTGGCCACTCCTAGATCCCTCCCACAGTCTTTCTATATATAAGGCCCATCTGGCCTCCATTAAGGTGCTCAGATTCCTAAAGAGTCTAGCCAAGTGCTCTGATTCTTAAAATCTAGCTGATGGCTGAGATTTGCTCCAGCCTTCTTGTCAATATGAGCATCACAAATGTTTAGTTTCCTTAAGAGTCTGGCCCATATGGTGGATCTTTAATAAACCTTGTCTTTGGCTGAAAAGAAGGCTTGGGTTGAATTCATTCAGGCAGGATCCATGTGTCACTATTTCAGGGTCCCAGAACCCCTAAACCTCAACAGTTCCAGGCTAGAAGTCACATAC